TTAGCGCAACTTAAGCTGTACAACAATCACTGATGAAATAGTACAAAAGCAACGCACTGCTAACGTAATACAGTATATTACTGAGAGATTACCGCTAGTTTCGCGTCCGAATGTGGTCCGAGCATAGATAATCCGAGGCGGTCCCGCTCCAACAGGTCTCTCCCATAGACCTAGCTATGTTCACCTGGTCTTGATTTCTTCTTTGATAATTTGTTCACTTTAGTTCCCTCTTCTCTTCCTCACTGTTGTGTCATTTGGGCTGTTTTGCTGTGTATGCAGTTACAGCAAGAGGAGTTATAGCCAATTCTGCTAACATGCTACTGTGTTTAGCAGCGCTGTAGAGGCTAGAGGACGCAGCCTGTTCTGTGAGTGGAGCCGGATGATCGGCCCGCTAGTCTCTACTCAGCACTTTTATATGGCCTGAGTTCATACACAGCTAAATCAATGAGCTCAAGTTATCAATTAAATTACGGATTATAATACAACTTGTATGTAGTAATAAGCATTTTTATGGACTCATTCGAAAAAAAATTGGGTAAGGCTTCTTTAAGTAATATGTAAGTAATATATAGCGCCTTTCACAGACCAGAGCCACAAAGCGCTTTACTAATGTTATTTTTTTTTGTCTCTCACTCCACACAAAGATGGGAGTGAGGTCGCCTTACAAGAGGCCAGACCTAATGTAAATGTTTTTAGTGATAAGGCCTAGAGGAAACCTACATAGACACGGGAAGAACATGCAAACTCCACTCAGAAAGGCCCTGTTTCGACCAGCATTCGAACCCTGGACCTTCTTGCTGAGAAGCGAGAGTGCCACTCAGTGCTGCACGGAGGCTGAGTGGATATCGCAGTGTACCACAGCTGAAAAAAGGTCTTGAGACACCGGTGTAGGCCCAAAGCTGAGTCCCCCGCTGGTTCCCACATCAGCCGTCCCCTCCCTTCCGAACGGCCACATTTCACGGTGAACCCAGGACCCCGCATGGGCCCCTGCATGGCACCGGAGCAGGCCACACACACATCAAACAGAGCAGGCTAAAGACCTTTCTCCTTCCATTCAGTTTGCTGTGTGCCGGATGTTAAAGCAAAAAAATATAATACAAATTACAGTACATTGCATCAGACTTTCAAAAGACGAGAAAATCAAATAACATCAAACATCAAAGAGAATCGTGAGTGTTATTATCGGAGCGTGGAATTGTGTACTTTGGTATGTACAATTGATTTTCTGAGTTACCAGATTTTTAAGAGAGCTAAAATAGACCAGAAAATAACATTTAAAAAAGGCAGAAGCAGTAGCAGTAGTAATATTAGTAGCAGCAGCAGCAACAGAAGTAGTATACTGTAGTAATAATTGTGTAATAAAGTAGCAGCAGCTGTAATAGTAGCAGTAGTAGTAGTAGTAGTACTAGCAGTAGTAGTAGTAGCAGCAGGGATTTTTTTCTAGCTGAATGATTGGGTCTAAGAACATGGACGGTCTCGAAATTGCCCATTTGATTGATTAAACTAAACATGGATTTTGATATTCTAATTTGCTTTTGTACATTTTAAGTTCTCTCATAAACTCAAATCTCCGTAGGTACAGATGTTTGTGGATTATAATTTTCCTGAATATATTGTTACTGCACGCTTTGGTAACTAGAGCCGGCAGATGTATCAGGTGGTGATAAACAGGGATTTCCAATGTCTAGACCAGCCATTCCCAAACTCAGTAACACCGAGGCCCCCTTAAAAATCTGACGGGTCTGCGTGGCCCCCCCAAAATAATAACCAAGAAGACAACATTAAGAATAGGCTCTTCTGGTTATTTTATTTTGGGGAAATAGCCTCTGCTACAAACATTGTAATACAAAAATGATTACAGTGGATTATTCAAGTCAAATAATGAACACAAATATTTTAATATTACAAACAAAACATTATAAATTTAACATTAAATAATGATATTATTTTTTTTATGACCTCCCGCGGCCCCCCTGCAGTACCCTCGCGGCCCACCAGGGGGCCGCGGACCCCACTTTGGGAGACACTGGTCTAGACCATGATTCCGGAATCTGAGCCATAGTAGTAAGTAGTAAGTAGTCTTTATTTATATACCGCCTTTTCACTGCACATCGGAGTCTCAAAGCGGTTTACAATTGTGATTTTTGGGAGTGGGGGTGCCAGTACAGGAGGCACATGCCAGACCTATTGTACATATTTTTAGTGGTAGGGGAAACCGGAGCACCCGGAGGAAACCTACACAGACACGGGGAGAACATCCAAACTCCACTCAGAAAGTCCCTGGTCTAACCGGGATTCGAACCCAGGACCTTCTTGCTGAGAGGCGAGAGTGCTATCCACTCAGCCACCCTGCCGCCCACTACTAACTACTAACTAACTACTAACTAATGCATCTTATTTTCTCCTTTTAATCAACTGTGATATGTGCAACTATGACATTGACATTCTCCCACTGAGGGACAATTAAAGCTTTATTTTATCTTACCCTAATGAGGCGGTGATGAGGAGGAGGCAGGTTTCTGCAGAACTGAAGCTGGATGCAGAGGCTGTGAGGCCATTATTTATCTTATGACTTTTTATTTTATTTTATTGTCTATTATCTTAAAATAGCAGTATGTAAGCTCTTCATGTCAAGTCATCATTAAAGGGCCCTAATCTGTCAAAAAGCGTAAATAAACTATGCTTATTTCAAATACTTATTTAACTGATAACAGTAGTTCAGAGATATTTGAATTCCAAAATTAGTTTTCAAAGCCCCTGAATCTTGTTATTGTTTTCATTTCGATGTCCTGCCCTCCAACGTTTCACCAATCAGAAAGTCTGTGATCCAGGTAGCCAGAACCTACCGCATTGAGCTAATCTCACTGGTAAAGTACCATGTGGCTGCAGAACTAAAAAAGGTCTATAAATAAAATAAGGATATCTATCGGGGCGTTTGTGAAAAAGGTGTTGGTTATAGATTTAGATATAGATATTTAGATTTAGATACAGATACGTAGACACGGGGAGAACATGCAAACTTAACTCACTTAAAGCTCCTGTTCCAACCGGGATTCGAACCCAGGACCTTCTTGCTGAGAAGCGAGAGTGCCAAGAAAGTGGATAGCACGCTGATGTAACCATTAAACGTCTTCCCCAATGTTTGGCTGAAATCAGATCAAAGCAGTATGTGTGGTCTTTTTCTCGCTGGGAGAAGCATCTTTCTTCCCTGTAAAGGAAATACTAATGAGACTAAAACTTATGATGAACATGTGATGAATCTTATATGAATATTTTAACGTTAGAAAATGGTTGTGAAGATTTGATAAAAGTTTCGGAGCCATTTTCTTCCTTTAAAAAAAAAAAAAAACGCTGCATCTAAATGAGAGGAATATTGTCAGTGAAATGCTGTTTTTTACAACACTGGCTTCAATTGCTTTGAAATCTGCTGCGATTACAAGTGGGAACAAAGCTTCACATTTCACAGAACAAGATCGAAAAGAGGTCATTGAGACAGAAGGGGTGGGGGGACATGTACTGCTCATAGACTGTATATATTAACGGACGTAGTCACAACCTAATCTCCGCCGAATCTATACTAATGGGCCAAAATTGGGCTTTCATGAAGTGAATTCAAAATGGCCGCAGGGTTGGAAAAATGTGAAAAAATGCATCTGCGCATGTCACCCGGCACGAGCCCCATTCATTTAAACGAGTGAGCTCAAAAATTCACAGCGACTAAACAAGAGTGGTCCAAAAAAATTCACCCCCCTCAGCATTAACACACATGTGGAACGGAGCTTTGGGCCAAGAGCCAACTTTTGGAACCATCCTGTAAAGACGTTTTCTAGAGGTCTGCCAATGCTATATGTTAGCATTGGCTACATTCTTCTTCTGGGTCCACCCCCGTTGGCCCGGGGTGGTATTGCAAGCATGTCAGCGTGTCACGCCATTTTGGGCACTTTTGAGCCGGGACCCGCCCCCACTGGTACTGCTCCTGTTTACTTTTAAGACATGGCCATACTTGCAAGCGAAAATCAAATCCTGTCAGACCGCTAAAGTTGTGTTGGGCAGGGCCTGGCTAGTACTGTGATGGGAGACCTCTGGGGATATCGCAGTAGCCACTAGTGGGGTGGCTGTGGCTGTAAAGTGCCAAACTGCTGTGTCTTTAGGCAAGACACTTCCCCCACATTGCATAGAATGAGTCTTGTGTGTGTGTGAATGGATGGTGGTGGTCGGAGGGGCACATACTGGTTGCCTAACGTTGGTCAGTGTGCCCCAGGGCAGCTGTGGCTCCAGTGTTAGTTTATCACCATTGTGTATGGAGTGAAAAATAAAGACACGTGAAGCGTCTTTGCGTGTCTTTTGCATTTTTTGTATTAATACTGTTGCAGCAGCTACTACAACTACTACTTATACTTCTACTACTACCGCTGTGTCTGCTATGACTACTATTACTACTGCAGAGATGTTACAACTACTACTACTACTACTACTATTTGCGGCAGCTACCATTGCTACTACGTTGGCTACTAATGCTACAAGTACTGTTAGCACTACTTCTACGTCTACTGCTACCTCTGCTGCTACAAGTACTGCTACCTCTACTGCTACATCTACTGCTACAACTACTGCTACCTCTACCGCTACAACTACTGTTACCACTACTGCTACAACTACTGCTACCTCTACCGCTACAACTACTGTTACCACTACTGCTACAACTACTGCTACCTCTACTGCTACAACTACTGTTACCACTACTGCTACAACTACTGCTACCTCTACTGCTACAACTACTGTTACCACTACTGCTGCAACTACTGTTACCACTACTGCTGCAACTACTGTTACCACTACTGCTACCTCTACTGCTACAACTACTATACTGCTACTATAACTGTCACTGCTGCTGCTGCTACTACGACTACTACTAATACTACTTTCACCACTGCTAATTGATAGTAGTAAATATTAAATCTGATGGTTTTATTTGTTGTTTTGGTGTGTTGTATCGAGCCATGTGCCTGAGCCTCCTCCTGGGACGTCCCGTGGATGAAAGCAAAGTACAAGGACAGAGTGAAGCGCTTGTATTACAGCCTCTCTCTTACTTGTGTTACCTGTGCACTTCACACAAACCAGCGTATCCGCCGGATCACACGAGACCTCTTCGATCGGCCGGCGATGTTGCGGTGAACAGAAGTGATGTCCTTCTGGATCTAAGGTCAGACCAAAGCAGGTCTTCACTCCAGTCTTTCACCTCATTTTCTGCATTGTTTGTCTTTGTTCTTAAACATGATCTTGAGAATTGTAACTTTGGTAAAAGCTGATTCATTGATGTGAATATTTCTACATTTTACTTTACTGATACTGCTACAGATACTTCCACTATGGCTCCTACTACTACTACTACCGAAGCAGCTACTACTGCTACTTCTTCTGTTATGACTACTACTACTACTACTACCGGTACTGCTACTACTACTTCTGCAGCTACTACATCTCCTACTACCACCACTGCTACTCTTCTACTCTTCTACTACTACTTATTTTGCTGCTCCTGTGACTGTTACTACTGCAGATAAGGTGCGCTATGACTCCTACTATTACTGAAGCAGCTACTACTGATACTACTGTAGCTACTACTAATACTACTGCACTTACTACTTCTCTTACTACTGCTGCTGCTGCCACCACTACTATTGCTACTACTTTTATTGTTTCTACCACTAGTGCTACTACTGGTACACTTCTACTACTACTACTTTTGCTACTACTGTTACTATTAATACTACTACTACTACTAGATGTCTGTGTATTTTGCTTACACTGTGGTACAAACTTTGAAATTAATTGTTCTGGATCATTTTTGAGTTATCTGTCCATGATTCAGAGCTGTTTGTGGTGGTTACGGATTAGAATTGTGGGAAAAGATCGGAGCTGTCCATGGTCCTGAAACAATAGACTTGTGAAAACCAGCAGTGTCTCATACGTATGAACTGTAATCTCTGTCAGTGCTGTGATAAGCAATGATGCAGGAAAATCTGCATCATTGAGTAAAAGCGAGTTCAAAGATTTCTTATGATATAGTGATTGATCAATATACAGAATATGAAATGCATTTTAATACTACAAATACATTACAACTCTCGAAAACGACATCCATTGGTGTTGCCAGTGTGCAAGTTTAACTTAACAGCAACTGTATTTTCAATGTAATCTGTTACACAGATATCTTAAAAAGCACTTTCTTGTTGAAATGAAATGTGGCATTTGAAAACTCGAGTTTCCTTTAGGGCAACGTTTTAAAGAGACCTTAAATTTTTTCTCGATGAGGTTTAAAATGACTAAGATGACACAAAAATGGATGGCTTTGGATCTGAGAATCTCTGTCAAATAATTACTTTTGGAGAAAACTGTCATCTCACCCTGAGTCCTGGATCTATAGCCTGTCTGTCCCTGGGAGCGGATCCTTCCCTCAATGTGAGCCTTTCCACTCATTCCGTCATTCTTTTTCCTGAGGCAGGAGAGTGCACGGACAGTGAGGATCGGGACTTTTTAGGACATTTATGTGTTTTTTTTTTTACATTTATGGACATTGGTCATCCCACTCCCTATGAAATAATGGCTCCTATGTGTTTGCAATTACTATGTATCAAATGTTCAAACTGTTGGATTCTCTAATCTGTTGTACTTTCTAAAGTCCTCCAATATGACTGCTGTTCTGAATTAGGGTTATATGAAAATACACAGAATTGAATCTCCAGACTATGACTATGTACGTTAGTCTTATATCTCTGTTTTTCCCCCAGGGAGGCAGAAGAACAAAACTTTACAAAAAATCATAGCTAATTCCCTCCATCAGAAATGTTTCAGTAATCACACCATACAAAAACACAGCTAATAATGTGAAGCCCTTTATTAGTTTCTCCATTGAAATCAGCTCGTGTTCCACTTCTGCCTTCACTTTGCTCCACTTCCAAACTTCCAAAGGCTGTATCTTCTGTCAACAGTCCCGCGTGTGTCCTAGTTTCCTGAAAACTGAGTGGAGCTTGTGGATTGGACAGCATGGTGGTGGAGTGATGGGTGGAGGCCGGCCGGTGTTGGTTGTACCCGTTCTCAGGAGGAGGTGACAGTTTTGGGACAGTGGCGTGACCTGTAGGAACGCTGAGACCGGTTCAGCGGGTGTGTGATTGAGCGAAATCAAAGCACGCTATCATTAGAGTAACCTTGGAAATCTGCTATCTTCACCTCAGACTAAAACTCGGAAGGAAAGTATGCCAGCTGACGTCACCCATACTGTTTGCCGAAAGCGTAAGAAGAACATGAGCTAGCTGGAGCCGGTGTCCATATATGGGCGTTTTTATTCCAAAGAGATTTGCTAGTAATCGGAAATATCCCTGGCGATTGACAGCCTCTGATTGGTTAATTTGTATACTGCTTATAACTGGATCTACAAAGACAATGCCAAAATATTGTAGATGTTTACTTGTCAATGTAAGTCTTTGAGAGCCGATGCCAGATGGAGTAAAATTTCACCATGAGCACTTTCCTATTGGGCTACATTGATCTAGGGGGTTAGCGTTGTCATTTTATCTACATGTACTTAGTATCCCGGAACTAATAAAGTTTCTCTTATCTTGACAAGACATATGACTTTGTCCAAGAGAACTCAAAGCTTATAGGACTTTTACTGACTTAAATGAAAGCTAAAACAGTCCTGCTGAATCGCTCTGCCCCATTTCTGTAAACCGCACCCCTTTGAGCTAAAATCTCCGCCAAAAAACATTGGTGAGTGTTCAAATAACAGGTAGGACAAATATATCCTGTTCACAAGCTGAGAACAGTTTCCCCAATCTCGTTTCATATACAGTCCAGTCCAGTTTAGTTATAAAGCACTAACAAAAATATACAATTGGAAAATACAAAGCAGTGGCAAAGAACCACAATATTTACAGCAAAAAAATCAATTCAAAATCAATTAAAAGCCAATGAGAACAAGTGAGTCTTAAGACGAGACTTAAAAACAGGAAGTGAATCAGACAGTCTAACACACAGGGGCAGCTCATTCCATAATTTAGGACCAAAAACCGAAAAAGCTTGATTTCCTCTGAGTTTCCGTTTAGTCGGAGGAACCCAGAGCAGAGCCTGATCTGCCGACCTGAGCGAACGTGATGGATCGTATGACGTCAGTAGGTCAGACAGATAACACGGAGCAAGGCCATTCAGGCATTTATAGACAAACAAAAGGACTTTAAAATCAATCCGGTCATATCACTACTTTACGGTCAATTCTTCTTCTTAGGGACTTAGACTTAGACGTGCAAAAACAAAAAAGATTTAAAAAACCGTACTTCCCCCTCCCAGTCGTCTCACCTTAGATGACTTCACAGCGGCACGTCCAGGCCAACCCTCCACCACAGCTGGGAATTGCGGTGATGGCTCCCCTCTCCCTGAATCCAGCCATGTCCGTGGGCTAATGGAGCTTTCTGACCACCTCCATTGACTTCCCATCACATTGTTTTTCTCTCATGGCACAGAATTAGCAGCCTGCTCCGGCTCTAATAGATGATTTGCGCTGCTAAAAACAACAGCGAGCCTGACAGACTGCTGGTTATTTTCCAATGATAGCTTTAGTAACACAAAGCAGCACACTCCACTTCATTTAGACGCAAGCTGCTGTTCTCCATTGTTGACAAGGCCGTAAGAGTAATTGCGTGGTGCTAAAAGGGCGAGCAATCAAAGTAGAATTGCGTATTTATTATGGTTTTGATTGCAAATGGAAGTGTGATTTAACCTGCTCTGGTTCTGCTGTGGCAAAGTGCAGGAGCTGATGTGTTTAATGCATGACACTTAATTCGGAATACGTGTTTGTCCTGTATGCTGTGTAGTTGTATTCACTTGTGTTCTATAGATCTGCATCTAATAATAATATTGCAAAAAAAATAAAATAATGATAACACTGAGTAACAAAAAAATATTTTTAGAAAACAGTCCAGGGTTTTCCAGCTGAATTAGACTAATTTTGATGCTCTGAGTCCGAAAATGACCTTGGTTTTGCTCAATCAGGTCAGGATTTTTTGCTACAGAAATATTTTTTTAAATCGATTTTGCGTTAAAAACTCATTTCTGCGGATCATCAGCTGAGAAACCCTTGACGTTTTTTCCGTTTTCCTCAAGAAATAAAAGTCAACGTATCCAAAGCCATTCAGTTTTTATTTACTCCATCAAATTTGATAAGCAGAATTCATAATAACGTAGACGTACATAATCCGTAACATATGGCTGTATCTCAAAAAGTTGACCTGATAGAGCAAAATGCATGTGATATTCGGACTCAGAACACCAAAATCAGTTGAGAAACCCCTGACCATTTTTTGATTGTCAACTTGTGTAATAATAAAAATGCATCAGTTTAATGCAAAGCTGTTTCTGGACACTCAAAGACGTTTCACATTATTCTTTCACTCCACACGCAGCAGGGACAAACTACTGCTGCACTACTGTAGCCACAGATGCCCTGGGGCACAATGGCAGAAGTGAGGCAACCTGTATATGCCATTGGCCTTTTCCATAGCCCTTTCTAACACAAACAACAAGTTTTCTTATAAGATCAAAACAGCATGTGGTCTGATGTGTTCATTTTACATTTACTTTCTGTTGCGGACAAACAATGTGTATCATTCAGGTACCCCAGCTTTAAATGATTAATAGTTTATTCATATTTGGCTGTTTTGCTACATACACATACACACACATTGGGAACTTTCAGTCATCAGATTAGGTTTTAATTGTTAATACTCCATTTTCTTTGTGTCTACGGCGTGGGTGAAGGTCACAATTAGCTCTGCCTCTGAATGTCTTGCCTTACTCCGACTGTATGTGTTCAATTGCTTTCATAAAAGTGGTGGGCACTGCAAATGAGCCCTCGCCGCCCTGAATACATATTATTGTTATTATTATTAAGATTTTTTTTCTTCTTCCTCCAGCTCAAGGTAACACCGACGTTGTCTAGCGCCAACAGAAACCCACTGGCGTTTATACAAATATGAAAAGTAATTAGCAAAGCATATGTGTGTTAAGTGGGGTCTAGGATGTGCGCGTGGGTGGGTTGTTTTTGTGCGAGCTCCAAGGCCAGGGCATGAATGGAGCCCTGCATGAATGAGTGTTTGTGTGACTGTGTGTGTGTGTGTGTGTGACTCTGGGCTGATTACACTTGGATGGAAAAGATATTGACCATGTCTATCTGAGAAACGTTTCTATAGAAGCAGGGTAGAGAGAGTTTAGAGGGGTGCACGGTGCAGGCTGGACATAGAAAACTGTTTGCTGTGTCTATAGCATATACAAGTAAATACTCATTAAAACAAATCTTCATAAAATGTCCTCGAAAAAATTACTAGTAGAGAGAAGGATGCTCTAATGCTCTGGGCTCTAATTCAGGGCATCCTGGGTAACTCCAGACACCCTCTGCATGACACTATGGCCGCTCAGAGGAGTAATCAAAGCAACAGGCTTGAACAGAACATTCAAAATAATCCTTTGTTCCTTGGCTCTCAGACTGTACAACAAACCTGGATGAGTCTTCTGCTGCTGGACACCTGATTTTCCTCTACCGGGGATCAATAAAGTATATATCCATCTATCTAGTATAGACAAGTGCCCACAAAGTATGTTTTTATGATGTGATTTTGGATATAAACATGGGAGGCAGAAGCTCATAGAGACCCTCCACACTTCTGTTTTTATATCTAGCAGTGAAGGTAATACCAACATGTACTGTACGGACAGGACTGTGAACCTACGAGGAGAGGATCCCACACACCTCTCAAAGCCGGCATTTCATTATGGATCCACGGTTGACAATGACGATGAAACCAAAACAAACTCTTATCCTCCTTTGAGTGGAGGATCAGAGATATGAGGCTAACGATTCGTGTTACTACGATCTGGCATGAACAAAGGAGCACTTCATTTTCATAGGAATTAGAGCATGGATCTCTTTCTCGCGGTCGCTTGCTTTAGCTGTTACCATTAGCATACATTAGCTTTGGGGAGTAAAAGCTTTGTACAAAGATAGATAAAGCTCTTCCACATTCCAGCCCCAGTGATCATCCAGGGAAGGGACGTTGAGAGAGTGGACTGCTAAGCTGCGTTACCACCGCAGATGCATAGGCGTGCGTTAATGGAGGCATGGATGTGTGTTGACTAAACTTCAGCTGCATGAGTTTAGTCAATCTGTCGTACTGCTGCGATGGGAAAAACACAGGAAGTGAATGGTGGGTACTTCTGTATCAGCAAACACGTTAGCAGCACTTGTTTACAGTCACAGTACAAAGTAAACTCAAGGTGAAGACATATGTTCACTGCGTCTCCCATTGTCAGTCCTGGTTTAATCCTGGCGTAGCTCATGTTTTGGTTGTTTTCAAGTGTCTTCCTCTTCCTGCTTTGGACCGGCATGTGTGCCCGCGACTACTTTGTCGCTCTCTAATTGGTTGCTGCACGTGCATGCAGTACAGTCATAAAAAAGTCTCTACATCACCAAATGGACTAGAGCTGAATGGCGCAAAGTCACTCGTCAACCAGCCTATCTGAGCTAAAGATCAGATAGATAGATAAGATTAGATGAATAGATAGATAGAAGTAGCTAACAATAGTATTACAATTTTAGGTCACAGCAGCAGAGGGGGAGTAGCCACTTGGTTCGGACCATTTTCTTTGCTCTGGTCCAAAGTAAAATGATTAATGCTTTGTTAGCAGTTTTCCAAAAATTTGCATCCCTCCGGTAAATTTCAGCTTGATCGGCTTGTTTCGGACCATGACTCCTCTCTGCTTCAGTCTGGATCAGTGTTAAACCATGAGCACTGTAGTGTAGTAACATTTGCAGGTAGGAAAAAGAAAGAAAAACACTTTGTAAAGCACAAAACAACAAGTTTTTCAGAGCTACTTAGGACGTGCTGCCGTTTCCAGCGTGATACAATGATTATTTTTGCTCAATGCAGTTCTGTATGGCGTACTTCATGAAAATTCCTGTTATTTCTGTTCTCTGTATTAAAATCCAACATGCTCTGATGATCCCTGTTTGTTCATCCTGTCCTCAGCCCGTCAGGGAGGCAGCAGAATGTTAGACAGAAGG